ACAACAAATTTGTATACTAATAACAATCTAAAAAAATATATATATTTTACGCACGTATTTACAAATATACATATCGAAAGACAAATATGTATATTTTTGTAATTTGCACCATGAAAAAATATTCTCCATTAAAAGTTCTGTCTATTTCAGACGCAAACAAACTCGCTTGTCGGCATTGCATTACATGTTGCAACATAATGCTGTTGCAGTTCACTATTGCCTGTACATTTATGAAATTGTAGCTACAGGCATACACATGCATACATACTAATATGTAATGAAATGTATATGCGGCAAGTATACACGTACTTGCTAGTCAACAATACCAGCCAGCGAGCGGCGGCGGCAACAGCTAAAACAAAGCAAGCACAGCAGCAGTAACAGTCAACGTTAGCAGCAGCGCTGCAAAGCGAATGTTGTTGTAGCACACATAGCTAAAATGCCAATAACTACAGTAGAAATATACGTATATTATATTGTATGTATGTATGTATAAATATATATTTTAAAGCGTATATTATAAGCGCAGTGCAGTTGCAGAGTATTTTCCATGTGTTTGTGTGCACGTGAAGATATTTATAAATACATGTATGCGTGTGTGTGTGTGTGTAATATAAACTTATAAGATCAAGCTGACACGCTCGCATATATTTATATAATTATCCATACACACATATTTATTAGTAACGTAGCGTAGCTGTAAGTGATTAGTTTTTGATTTGCCTCGACCGCATGCGAGCAACACACTCAACAGCCATAATAACAACAAACAGTGTATAGTAATTGGCTATCATGCACTAACCGCGCACACACAATGGCTAACATAACACCAGCGCTGCTCGACGCTGCTCCTACTAGCGCGTCTAAACGCCAGGCGATAAAAGACCAAAGCAATTGAAACTTAACATATTATTAGCTGAAATTTGCTGCCACACACACACACACACACACATTCAAAGATATAAATATTGTATCTTTTCAACGCTTCTAAGCACAATACTTACATATTTACATATATTATACGTATCTACATACATATATATTCAATAGTTTGCATTTTCAGCTAGCTTCGTCCACATTATTGCCATTGATAAGCATTTTTTTTTGCTAACTAAAAACTAGAACAACAAAAATCGCCTGCAAAACTTTACACTGCATAACTAATATATACGTATATGTATGTGTATGTATATATTTTAGTTTTATTGGGCGTTATTGTTTTCGTTAACTACGAATTTGGGTTTCATTTCATTTTTCATGCCATACACGCCTGCCAATCATGCGCTCGGGCACTTCCTATCGCACACTACTCCACTAACATACTTAGTAGGCGAACGTGCACACACGCAAGCGTTTCAACTCACATGTATGTGAGCTTAATTTGCAGCCACAAATTGGAATGTTTTTTTTTCAATTTTTACGAATATACCAGAAAAGGTATATGTAAATAACATAGATATGTAACAAACTAAATTTTTGCATCTATTTATGTTGCCCACTGTGGCAATGCGTCGAAATCGACACTTGTGCGCACTCGAAATCCATAAATCTGTTTGATTTGCTTGTACTTTCATCCATGACCTTGAGTTGCATACAAACGCGCACATATATCACTGAGCTTATACAAGCACTACGGTTAAAAATTTATATATATGTATAAGCGTCTATGTGTGTGCATGTAAGTGCATTTGTGTGTGTTTATGTGTGCATAACTGTATATATGTCAGCATGCATTCACATTCACATCGACAGCGTCGCGTTTGTGTCTTAAGTATTTTGTTTGCATAGCACATTTGCTCTGTTTTACCGTTTTATGTGTTTTATGCGCTCTTGTTTTAAGCGTTTGAGCTGCTCAGCTTGCGGTTTTCGGTTTTACTCTTTTCGGGTGCAAATCTGGCGTGTTCGAAATTCGCTGTTTTTACAATGACATTTCTTTTGTTCCAATGCCGCATAATCACACAGAGATATGTATATTCATACATTAATATAAGCATACATTTTTTTGATAAACTGTATATAACAATATGTGCTTGCTTATTTATATTTACATTCACTGGTATTTGTGTTGGTACGACAGCAGTCGTGGTAAGAGCGCTGCAACACAAAGCAACGTGCAGGAATGGCAATAGTTTGAAGTGGAGAAGGCCAGCTGATGCCACAATGACACGACTACAGTGGTTCTGGATTAGTTTGTGAGTTTGAATTGGTATGAATTTTTGCAATTTTCTTCCTATATAAATTTACATTTTCGGACAAAACCGGCAAGTTATCCCCCAAGCTCAAATTACTTTACATCAAACTAGCAAACTTTAATACCAAAATATTTCAAACTTTTTAATATCTCATATTTAGAAGTCCAAGAATTCTGAAAAAGTTTCATCGATTTATTATAATAAATAGCAAATTTAAGGAGATATTCTAGTGTAGAATTTCAGACCAGACTTTTTCAATACCATACCCCCATTTCTTGAGTCCTAGTAAACCTTACTTAAAATTTTCAGAGAATCTTCTTTATCGACCTCTCTCAAACAGTCGCCATTTTGTCAAAAAAAATTTTTACTTATCGCTAGTTCATACAATTGCGACATCATTGCAGATATATAATTTTTTTTTCATTTCAGATGACTAAGTAGGTTGAAATCATGGGTGTACTCACGTGTCAATTTTTGAAACCCCGCACTTCATCAGCTCCCAGTTTTTTCAATTTTTAAATTTTTTTTCTGTACTTTTGTAACATGAATAAAAAAACATTGATTGCCTTTTTATACTACACTTTAAAAAATACCTAAATAATATGTCTCTTTGCCCTTAAACAACAAATTTTCAAAGACACTAACTCATAACATTATCTATAATACAAAAAGATTACTAAAAAAGAAACTTCAAATTTCTAGTCCTAAATACCAGATTGAAAAATTAAAAATTAATTTTTAATACAAAACAGCATGTTTAATAATAAAATAATGAATCCCAAATACCTGATTTTATTATAATGAACTTGTGCTGAAATAATTTCAAAAGAAATTTTTCATCCGAATTAAAATATATGTATTATACTTGTATATTATTCAAAAAAATATACATTAACATAAAAAAAAATTTTTTTTTTGTAGTGTACTTTGTCTTTAAAATTTAACGACTTTTCTTTCCTCTCCTCATTCAATTTGATCAAAACTAACGTAGTTGAAAAGTTATGACAGCCTTAAGTTTTCAAATAACCGATTTATTTGCTTGAAATACACGATCCTAAATACACTATTCATTTGTTAGTATCGTGAAACTCAAATTGTGTTATGTAAAGCAAAAACCAGACGAGTAGAACTTTATTATTATCGATTAAATATCATTTTTTTATTTTTTTTCAGAAAATATTACTCGCTATAACCACCGTCACTCGAAAGGCCTTCTTCAAAAAGGCCTAGTAGCCGCCATTTTGCATTAAAATGTCAATATAAACATTTTTTATACACACAATTATATAGCAAAGAAGAGAAATAAAGTCAAACACAAATCTATTACATTTTTACGTACAATAAATCGCAAAGATAAGGCTTTTTAAGGGTTCTAGACCGGCTTAACCCTTAAATAATTTTTCAATTTTAGTTTAAAGACTAAGCGTGAATATATAAGAACGTGTTTTATTAAACAAATTTATCCAATTTCATTCTGCGTAAATTACTTTTTAAAGGTCCATAAGTCTATTGTTTCCAAAATAATGAGCAGGGCCAGAGTGAAGGCGACAAACGATGTTCTGAATAATTTAAGAAACATTAGTTTCGCGAAAAGGTATTTTGACATTCGACGTTAATTCGAGATTTCATTAAGTACAATATAGTCAGTTCACAACAAGATTTTGTTGTTTTTGCAAATCTTGCACATTTTGGATTAAAACTTGGTATATTTTAACTTTTTCCATTCTTTTCATTTAAAATGTTGAAGTTAAAAAATAGGAAAAGTAAAATGACATTATCTTTGTCGCAAACATCATTGTTATAGGCAATTCAGACGTTCACTTAATTTAATCAAGTAATAAATTGCATAACTTTATTAAGCGGATTTCTGAAACACCTATTACACCAGCTCATCATCTGATTAGTTTTTTAGATGTTTGAAATGGGACAGAAAATTTTCTTTTGGTTTGAAATACGAAATAACTGCCATAAACGATTTATATATATTTGAAAAATAAAAATTCCAAATAAGGGCTACCATAAGAGAGTCTTATGGCGCTGCTATCAAGTTATTAATTAAATTAAAATTTATTGTCCGATTTTTGTATGCAAGAGATTATAGTATTATAGCGCTAGTTGGCTCTAGAATCAAATTATTTCAAAGACTACACTGCAAGTATTCAAACATTTTATGAAGTAGAATACTGTTTATATGTGCATATGCGATTTAAAATAAGATTTTCCTAATTTTGAAAAAATGTATGAATTTTTCTAGAAAAAACATTTTTTCTCGAATTATATTGTAAAACCAAAAGAACGATTTTTACTAGCTAATATCAGCCGTCCAACACACAGTGCCACAAAAGTGGTGTGGCAACAATAAGCCAGCAGCTGTAAGACCAGCAACACAAACAAACCCATGAAACCAGTGAGTGTGGCCAATCGGTTACTGTGCAGCAACGCAAAGCTGTCCGCGTCGCAACGGTCGCGTCGATAATTTCAAACTAATATTTACGCTATCATTTTTTATACTTTTTATAGTACATGCGATATTAGCGTATTTAATACATCTTGTTGCCATAAAAATAAATAAAAAATTAACAATAACAACATAAAAGCACAAAGAAATTGAAACTGACTTTTGCAGCATCATCGCGGTTTGGGGCTTGTGGGGCGTGCAGTACAAAAGTCTTTAATGAATTGAAATGTTCAAAATTACTTGAAGTATAAATGCGAGATGATTCTCCAAATGCAATGAGATGGCTACGCTTAAATTTAAATTTGGTGATTTCGCAATTTTTACCAACAACAACAAACAGCACCACTTACCAACAAAATGCAGACGCAACATTGAACCAGCGATTTCCGTTGACGCCGCCGTTGCCGATTAATGCAGCTGGTTAATCCCAAATTTATTGTATTTGAAATTCCAACGAAGATGCTTTTGCTTGGTTTATGTGTTTTTACTTATTTTTATTTTGTATTTTTCGGTTTTTTACAATTTAATTTTTTGTTTGTTTTTCGCTGTTGTTTTTTGTTGCTGCTGTTCTTTTTTGTGCAGCGCGTTGTTTGTGGTTTTCAAAATGCAGTTAGTGCCAAGTCGGTGGCTTATTTATTTGGCGAGAAAATTTTTATGTGGAAAGTCGCCACCAACTGAAGATGTTTCAACGCGACTTTTAAGACGAACTTAAGTCGTTTTTTATTGTTGTTGTTTTTTGTCGTTTTTTCGCAATATACGTCTTGTTGTGATTTGTTTATTTGCGGATTTCGCAGTGTGTCACACATAAAGCACTTGGAGTCGCATTCGAAATTCTGTTAGCGTACAAGGCAGCTGAGTATCGCGGATGCGCTGTGCGATTTTGCACACAATTTACAACGTTATACGGTTAAATTGTTGCTGTTGTTGTTGTTTTTGGCACAATTTCGTTGTTTCACGTCTTAGTGTTTTATTATTATTTTATATTTAATGCAAATGTTTTTAAAAATACCGCTTTTTGAGTTTTATTTTTTAAATATTGTTGTTGTTGTCGTTGTTGTGTTTAAGCACTTTAAAATGTGTAATTGTTTGGCAAAAGTATGGCTGCAATGTGTTTGCGCATTGTATTGTACAAGTTTAGTGGCTTTTTATCGCTGCTCTGAATGCTAGAGTCTGCTGACTGATTGAGTGATTAACTAACTAACTGACTGATTTGAGTTTTAAGCAGCTTTTTGTGCTTTGCGTGTGTTGTTTTGTTTTATAAAATTTGTTGTTTTTTTTTTGTCTTATTTGTGCTTAATTATGTTTGCTTGCGCTGCCCATAAATTCCTTGCCGTTCACTTGACCAAGTGTGCGAATTACGACGAACGCTTACTACTTTTTGTTGTATTTTTTTCGTTCTGTTACAAACTGCAGCGCGCTTTTAATTAATTTCAAATTTGTGAAATTTTTTGTGAAAAATATTGATATTTTAATTATTCCTATTCTGCTGTTATTTGCTATATTAAAAAGGCTTGCGGCACACACTCTGAAAACTGAATCTAACTGACTGGTTCGAATATTTATTTAAAATATCTGCTTTATTTAGCAGGTCGCGGCCTTTTTTGTTGTAGTTGGTTTAGAATGTCCTTAAATCGGTTTTCAGCTGTGTGTTTACTTTGTCAGCACTTTGAACTTTTTTCGCACACACTCGCTACACACCTACAAATGCACGTTTAGCAATTAACAATTTATATATATTTTTTAAATTGTTCCCAATGCTTGCTTAACTCGTTTGTCGCTGATTGCATTGACTTTTACTTTTGCTTTTTTTTTTTTGCAATTTGTTTTAATAATTTTTTCTTAACGCGCACGTTTTGTCACAACGTTAAGCAGCAAAAGCAGACTGCTTGTAAATCAAAAATACATGAAAAAATGCTTTGTTACGAAAAAATTACAAACGAAAATTCTCAACACCGAAAATTGACAAGAAAAACGCCAAAATTCTGCGAATTCGTTAATTCGTTTAGAGCAGTCGAACGAGCTATGCTTTTGTTGTTGTTGCTATTTTTGTTTATTACGAGCACAACAGTCTTTTAAGTCTAGTCACTGTCACTGTTGCTACTGTTGTTGCTGTTGTTGCTGTTGCTCACATGCACTGCTTCTGCTGTCGTCGCTGCGAAACGTTTTTATGCTTGCCGTTCAAGTCAAGTTCTACGTCCGAATCGCTTCAGCGTCCGCATTTAACTGAATTACTAAAATGATCTGAGGCAGAAACTAAAACTGAAACTGATAGCAAAACTTGGCGTAAATTTCCATATTTGTATGTGTGTGTGTCTGCGCGTATGTGAATGTTTGCCAGTTAGACCAGTCACATTGTAATCTGCAGAATGTGTGCTCAAGACCAAGACCAAGTCTCAGAAGACAACAGCCAACAAAGGCTAAGGCAAAGGTACACGATAAATGGCAAACTAGCAGCGCGAGCAGAAATCGCGCTCATAAAAGCTGAGAGGAGCGCCACAGCGCTGAACCATATCAAAATACAGAGCAAAACTCGCATAACAACAGAAATATAGCAACACTACAACAAAACTACAAGCGTACGCACATTAGCACAGCGCATTCGCGAAAACCAAACAGAGTGTAAAGTTGGCACTTGCAATAAACTCGGCGAATATCGCAAAAGTTAGCCTCAGCAACGGTTGCTGCCGCTGTTATTGTTGCTCTGTTGCTGCTGCTGCTGCATTCACTCGCCCACTTTGAGCTGTTGCTGCATTGAGTGCTCTCCACAGATCGATATGCGCTCATTGCATTTGCGTTGTTGTGATACTACATATTGTTGTTGTATTTGTTGTTGCTGTTTTATTAGCCATCTTATTGCGACCGCTCTAATAGCACTTCTTGTGCTCAAGCCCAAACGCGGCTTCAAGTTCACTTGAATCGGCCACTTACACATCACACACATGTGCGCACACACGCATGTGCACATAAACACAAATGTTTGGATCACCTGCACACACACACATATATATATATATTTGTATAAATGTACAAACCGTCAAATACTTGTATTTTCTATGACCACTTTGACCACTTTATGACTTCCCGTCACCCTCAACACCGTTGTTGTTGTTGTTGTGGCATGTGAAAAATCACTCTCACTCTTTTTTGTTGCCATGCTATTAATAATTTTCTTGTTTTCGTTCTGTAATTGCTTGTTTAAGCCGCGTTTAGTTTATTTGCTTTTGCTTCGGCGTGGCGCAATCTCAGCTTTAATATTTTATATTTCTATTTTTTGCGAAGTTCTCTTAGCGCACAAAACTCTTATGCACATATTTAGTGCTCTTTGGCTCTTTGTTGGTTTTTAAGAGAGCCTCAACTCAGCTGATTGGAGCAGTAAGTGATAAAAAGGTTCACATTGGAGTTGATAAGCTATCAAAAAAGTTTCAATACAATTTGAATTTCAGGTTTGGTCAAAACTGATGTGAGTCATATAAATATTTCTTTAACTGTTTATGTAGTAAGTCATTCAGCAGTTTCAATAGCCAGACTACCTGCTTTATATGTATATACATTTGGTAGAAATTGTTTTTTTCTTTTTTGAAATGTGGCAACTCTGTTCCAACCCTTATGGAAATTAAAGTATTGCAAATACTTTCCCGATAACTTTCTTTAATTACATAGATTTGATACATCTTTTGTTATGTTATGTTGCTTTCAATTTTATATTTGACGCCAGTTGGTAAAGCTATTCCAACATGTTTAAATGAAAAACCTCACAAAAATGTTCAGCACAGTTTTCTTATGTTCGAAGCTTGTAATGTATTTGTTAGTTTTAATTTTTGTATTCTTTGGCAACTCGAGTCTTAGCGACTAAATTTAAGACAAACCGAACTCTTGCTGGTAAGCTCTTCCAAACACCTAATGCTTATTTGAAAATTTGAAAACTTTATTTTAAAATATGACTTAAATTAAATACCAATTCAAATTATTTTATCTTGGTTAATTTCCTCTTCCCTTTGATATGATTATTTTAGCTCAATTAGTCAAGTAGTATTAATTCCTTAAGGTAAGATACAAAAAAGCACCCACATTAGTAGCCGAAACTCCCACATGGTCTGGAAAATCCTTAAGGGGTACACCTAACGTGAAATAAATTATGCCTTCAAAATTAGATACTAAAATTTTAAAACAATATTTCAAATACTTTTTGAGTTATAAGCATCTATACTGTAAATGTATTTAAACATATTTTCTTAAAACTACATTTTTCAAATATGCGTGATTAGCGGAGACAAATGACCCGATTATTATTATTTTTTGCATATTCTGTATTAGTTGTCCAAACAATACCAACGATCAAAATTTTGGGTAAAATTCTACTTTTTTGAAACGCGGCTATTTTGTCAATTTTTGAATTATTTTCGGCCTTTGTTATTTTATGGAAAATATCTTCTAATAGAGAATTTGTGTTTTAGGTTTACTCCACGGCTAAAGCCGGAATCATTGCAGCTGTGGAGAAACTATTTTTAGCGCCGTCGTAGATCGCGTAAAAAATTTGACTGTGTATTTCTAAAACAAGTGATACACTTGATGGGCTTTCACACTTGGTGTGCCCCACAACAACAATTCGACACTGCTAATATAATAAATTCTTCAATAGGTCTGGAATTTTCCTTTACATTATGTACATTTGACCCCAATGAACATTTACGTCTTTAGACATATATAAAATTCTTTACAGCTGACCTCTGATATAATCATTTATATTTCCAGCGTATATATAATTTTGCACTGCTCTCACAAGAACATTAGTATTTGTTAAGAAAACGTTTCCCTGACGATCTTTACTTTGGATAATACACGTTTGATAGCAAAGAGTTTCACTAAGTATCCAGTATATAGCATAGTAGATTGTATACTTGATAGTAAAATAATATATTTTGATATAAAATATATGACAAGTTGTTTATCCAGTAAGCCTGTAACACGGGTAAAGCGTACATTTGACGATCAAAGCTTAACATAAATTATATAAGTCATTTGGCGTTGAAGTCAAATGTTTAATTTTACCTTTTAACGGATAATAGCAAATTTAAGACCACAAACTAGAAGAGATGCCCAAACGAACATCTAGCAGGTATTATTTAATAGTACGTTGTCATTCAGAAACACATAAAAATGTAATAACTTATCATCTGATCAAACTTCGTTCATTTAAATTGCAAGCAAAAACTGAATCGATAAAAAACAATTCCCAGATTGGCACAACCTTTTTTTCGTGTTGACGTCAGAAAGATAGCAAAGGATCTCAACATCTCTTATGAAACAACACAAATTATTTTAGTAAATATTTTGGTTAGGAAACGTGTCAATGCTAGACTTGTATCGAAAAACCTGGTCACTTTGAATGTTAAGTAGGAGGATTATGATTATGAAATTGGCACATACAAGACCTGAATCTTTAGCAAAAACGATTTAAAGAAGAGGTCGCAACAGAGATGCTTGGCAATGTAGCTGGGGACCCTATCTTTGTAAAACGCATCATTACTGGTGACGATATGTGGGTTTACGAATATGACGTCGAATCTGACGTAGCGTATGGTGCTACAAAAATAAGCTGAAACCAAACAAAAAAAAATGCGCACTAGGCACTGACGGCTATCTTAAGCAAGGCTTACAAGTATAACAATTGTATAGAAAAATAATTAAGCGTTGGCAAGCTTTTATTAGCTCAGAAACCTATTTTTAAGGCGATGGTAAAGATTTGTCTTAAAATGTTAAAATATAGTTTTTTTTTGTCAGTCGGAACAAATATCAAATATCAATCCGGGCGATCGGATCTTATCTATATATATCTTTGATACTGGGAGTTTAGTTTAGACATATAAATAATATAATATTAGTACTTAGCTTGTTAACAGTTTCAAGTAGTTAGGCGCTCTCCAGTACCCAAATTAACCTATTATGGCTTACAACAATGCTACGGTGAATCTGCGACTTGTATACAATAATTAACCACAGTTTAAAGCATCTTAGTTTGTCTTTTTGAGTGGTTCGACCAAAAGAAAGAAACCGGATAGTAACTTACTATTGGACATCACCAGCCATACCAGTTTATTGTAAATTATGACTTTTTATAAAGAATCACTCGCGAATATTAATATTGTTTTATAACTAAAGTAGCTTATACGACAGGCACATCTACACACGCACGTGTCAGCACATATCAGTATCATTTAGCACAAATTTAGATATCGAGTTCGTGTCGTAAGTCTTTCGTTTGCAAATCAGCACTCACCACAAGCAAATATATATATTCACTGAGGAATAAGCCGGTCAGTAGCAGCGAATATCTCACAAAATCCACACATTTACAAACTAGTCTTAACAACACATACTCTAAGTGTTTGTATGTGCCAATTTCATAATCATAATCCAACTACTTAATGCTCAAAGTGACCAATGGGCACTTACAAGCTCGTGTGTTGGTACAAACGAATCCCCTACAATTCTAAGGAGAACAATTTTTCAATTAAGCGTACAATTATCAAATAATTATAATAACGCATTTTGTGACAGTTGATCATATCGCCACAACAACAACAACAAAAACAGCAATTGATTCGCTACGCTTATATGAAAAGAAATCGAAGTAAGTCCAAACAAACTAAACGCGCGGAGAGACAGGCAAACAAACGAACGGACGGATAGCAGCAGTATGTGTCATGTGTGACCACATTTTTTTACCGGCATTTCAAGTCGTCCGTCAGATTGAAGTGGTCGCCGTATAGGCTAGGCCGCAGGCGCATACACCTATTCATTGAATTTGACTTCTTAGCGACAAGAGTGGATTTCCAAACACATTTGTATGTATAAATACCTACGTATATATGTATGTATTAAGTATGTTCGTAGAAGGTATCAAGTAAAATATCTAAGGGATCTGTATAGTTTTAGGCGCAACTTTGTTTGTGCAAAGTACACACAACCACACATTTAACCATAACTAAAAACACTACCGTGGTATAAACCTTCTAAAGCCAATTTATTTGTCATATTGTTTAAATTCACGGTCCTAAATACTTTTTTTCGTATATAAGACTCATTCGGGTTTCTGTATCCAACTATGGTCCCAACAACTCTAGTAAAACTTGCTCTTGTAGAAGTGGTTCGTGTATTCTTGCTTTGGTGGACAGCTACACTCAGGTTAGTGGTCAATCGGTAACCGCTTAACGCCCAA